CCTGTTTGTTTCCTCTCCACCTATCCTCTCCTCTATCCATCTTCTATCCGCCTCCCACTCTCTCCCTATTTATTTCAGAAACCCCTTCCCCTCCCCCTTTTCTGATGAAGGGTCTAGGCCCGAAACGTCAGCCTCTCTGCTCCTATGATGCTGCTTGGTCTGCTGTGTTCATCCAGCCCTGCACCTTGTTGTCTCGGATTCTCCAGCATCTGCAGTTCCTACTATCTCTGATTCGCTTATAGTCTGCATTTTCTTTATTGGCAGCACATAACACTCCTTATCAGATTCAATCTTAATTCCCAGAATGCGGGCCTCACCTAAAAATAATTTCAGCTTATAAATCTTTAAATGTTTCTCAACTTAAAAAAAAGCCTGCCTTTTAGTCTGTAACTCTAAACAGTATAAATTTATTTTTGTAAGCGTTAAAGGGTTTGAGCATCCTACTGACAAGAGATAAATAGCAACAAGTAGGTGAGCCTTCACCTCACTCTTCATTTTAAAAATGTGTTAAAAACATTCTTTGCCCAAGTTCTGAACCTTTTTCAAGTGTCTTTTATTTGTCCTTGTATTGAAGTTCTCACGAGTCCTTGGGCCTCTGGGATGTTACAGATAAAAAGTTCTTATTTAAAATACTTTTTAAGGCTTTAAAATGACTTGATTGTTCATTGTCTTGCAACTTTTTGTAAATTTTATTCTGCCCGGTTTGGATTCTGTGCTGTTGAGCGCCAGGTGTCCTAAATTAAGAAACAACTTAATGATTCATTAATTGATGTTTGCATTAAAAAAGGTCAATTGCATTTAATTTCTTCTAAAACAAATGAATAATTCATTACTTCCCGGTTCCGCTGAACAATGTGATTATAGACCTGTTCTACTAGAAGATTATTTATTCATCTTGCACTTGACTTGCACCCCAATCCAAACAGATGAAAGTCAAGCAGATTTTCCTTCAGTGAGGCTACTTACACTCCAACTGAGAAGATCCACATGCATCTCTCAGATCTGCTCAAAGTTGTCTGCAGTTACTTCCAGAATTATAGTGGAAACTTGGTTTGCACATGAAAGAGTTGAACACTTCGAGAAAAGTAATTGAAATAAAATATGAACAAATGTCGGAGGAATTTTTTCTGGTTATTGAGTTCTAATGATATTATTGACTTTCACATTAGAACCCAAAGGTTACAGCTAAATTTATACAAATAACTATTTGATAGAGTGTTGCACATGGAACACAAACCTCTCAAGAGAGTTCATTGAACAGAAATTTTGTAACCTCTTAAAGGTCATTGAACTTAGCATAACGAGGTGACTTATAGAAGGGGACCATTTGTAAAATAATAAGGGAAAAAAAAAGGAATTAACTGGACAGCTTACAGCATGGCTTACTGGAAATTAAACTAAGGCTATCACACTGGCTGTGGAATCTTGGCATGAGCTGAACACGGCACAAAGTTCTGTTTCTCACCTCAATTCTACAAATTTGGAATCCCTCTCTCCTACCGAAAGAAAGACTCATTTTCATCACTTTATATAATATTTTCAATTATCTCTTTAAAATTCAAATGCCAAAATAAAGTTTTACCAAGGAGTACAAAATTAAAATTTAAGAAGTTACTAAAGCCAATTAATGTATGGAGAAGAAAACTTTAAAACTGCAATAGAGGTTAGATCTATGAAATCTGCTTGAGCTGGCTGGATCCCAGAGCTCATCACACGGTCAGCATTCATGAGTATTTACAGAGCCTTCTAAGATGAGAAATTTGGCATGGGAAATTTTTAAAAAGTCAATTAAATACTGAAACACGTACAGATAGTACAGCCTCAGTTTCTGTCAGTGAAATTGCCCACCACAAAAACAATTGTGCCATAACCATACCAGTGATCGACAGCCTCTCCAAATCAGGACTATATGAAGCTAATACAGGCCATCACAAATTCCATTTCCATTCCCAAACAGTGGTCAGTCAGAACCAGAAAGCTCATACCTCACAATTTAACCTTAAGTTGAACTTTTGACCTTATATCCTCTCCATTATGAGAACTCACTTCACCCTCGTATCACTCACTTCATCCTCTGTTGACATCATCACCCATGCTTTTGTCACCTCCAGCTTCACTATTGCAAGGTTAATCTTTATGTTCAAACAATATCATGACCTCTGCCTGCCCTATTTTGGGATTTGGCATTTGGGAACCATGTTACAAAGTAGGATTAGACAACTTGATTCATGGCAGTTAGGAAAATAGTCTTTTTTTGTACTGTAATATTTTACATTATGTACAAACTGGCTGTAACTTTTTCCAAAAAGAGAAAAGTTACTGTACATGAATATCAGACTTTGCTTCATAAGAGCAATCACAGAATTCAAAGTAAAAGTTAACACCAACATAACCCAATACTACCTGTACTTCCATCTGTTTGAAAATCTTTTAATGAAACTGTGGTTGGTTTATCCTTTCCCTGGAGATGTTTTCTTTTTTCTTTTCTACTTGGTCCTTTTGTTTTGAGAGAAGCAATATCACCACAACACTGCAAAAATTAGAAAATTTAAAATAATAGAAGTTTAATATTACAGACAGTCCCTGGGTTGCAAACAGGTTCCATTCTGGAGCCCGTTCACAAGTTGATTTGAACACAGATTGGAATACAATGCAGGACAATGTAAAGCAGCTGTTTGTAAGTACAGGAAATGTTTGTATGTTGGTCTTTAAAATTATACCCCTGTACGGAATCATGTTGGTAATTCGAGTGTTTGTAAATTGGAGACCGTTGTAATGATATGACTGTAGATTTAAAATTGTAAAAATGCTGTGATCAATTACAGTCTTGCTTTACAATTAGATTGGCAAATTGTAAATGTTACTCTATCATTTAAGAAATGATACAGAAACTGATACATTTTTATCCATTTTGTAAGTTATCATTTGTGGGATATTACTAAAGGTCCGCATCAGGGGCTGAGTGACTGAGCACTTGGACAATGTGTTATGATCACATTTAACCTGCAAGCTATACACGGAGGAAAATTTGTAAAGTGTAAAAAAGAATATCCGTGGAATCTGAGATAACAAAGTGTGGAGCTGGAGGAACACAGCAGGCCAGGCAGCATCAGAAGAGCAGGAAAGCTGACATTTCGGGTTGGGACCCTTCTTCATATTGACTCCAGCATCTGCAGTTCTTGCTATCTCCAAGTCTGTGAAATCTGTTTTGTTTTTGGAAATGTTTGCAAAGGACATAGGAGTTTGCATCAATTGTAAAGGAATCAACTGTAGTATTCTTGGACAATAGGAAACCTGGCGGGGGGGTGACCATTAATCAGTAAGTATTACTGTCAGGAAGGAAGTTAAGATTCAAAAGGTTATGCAACCAGACAAAGGTAGACAAAGGAGCTACTGTTGTGAATGACAAAGTGGTACTACAGACAGGAGAGCTGGGAATGAGTGATCAATACAGATGTAGACAAAGAGAAGGCACAGAGGCAGAAAGAAGGACACTAAATTTCCGTGGAGAGAAATGAGCAAAGCTTTTTTAAAGGGTACGTTTTCTGTCTGGCAGCAAGAAGAAAAAGAGAAGCCCGAAGAAAACGTTTACTAATAAGGTAAAGATACTGGGTGGCATGGTGGCACAGTGGTTAGAAATGCTGCCTCACAGTGCCATGGATCTAGGTTTGATTTCACCCTTGGGCGACTGTCTGTGTGGAGTTTGCACATTCTCCCTGTGTCTGCGTGGGTTTCCTCCGAGGCTCCAGTTTTTTGCCAGAGTCCAAAGATGTGCAGGTTAGGTGGACTGGCCATGCTAAATTGCCCAGTGTCCAGGGATTTGTGGGTTAGGTGGATTAGCCATAGGGAATGCAGTGATAGGGTAAGGTATGGGTCTGGGCAGGATGGTCTTCAGAGGGTAGGTGTGAACCTGATGGGCTGAATGGCCTGCTTTCAAGCTGCAGGGATTCTATGATTCAGTTTTAAATAGTACTGCAAATAGCTCCGACGTGCAAAAGATAGGAGTTCATACCAGAAGACCAGATGGTGAATGGTTTATTTTTAGTTGGTTTGTTGGTTAAGAAGGAATTCTGGAGGGCAATGACTTCAGAAATGCCATGACATGAGGGAGAAAGGGATTTTAGAAGTGTGCCTTGATAACAATAATCCCACCAATGAAGTTCCAAGGTAAAACTCTGGACCCAGCCTGCGACAGTAATAAAAGACATTGTAAAACTCAGTAGCTATATGTTGCCAAACATGCTGAAGGAAATACTGATGGCTGCACGAGACACCTCTTTGTTGTATCCACTATTTAAAGTGAAATTTACCTTATTTTGAATTACCATTTGACTGTTGCTTTATGTTTACTTTGCATTGGTTCTACTTTGTGTTAATAGTACAGCAAGTGAAATTTTTGTGGCAATTTCTTCATTTGGAGATCAAAATTATGTAGCAGAGTTAATCCATAAAGAAATTTAGCACGGATCTGGGAAGCGTAGATCAAATCAGACTAAGCAACCTTAACACTTAGGGGAGATTGTTCATAGGTAATGCCAATATGCCAATAATTTGATAAGGTACTGCACAAGAGATTGTTAGCATAAATGAAATCATATATAATTGAAGATAACAAGAGCTGAGTGGAGACAGATTAGGGATAGAAAGGTACACGAGCTGAAAGGTGACACATGATATTTGAGGTTTATGAATGATTTGTACCTAAGTCTTAATTTTACACCATATATATTAATTATCTGGCCATAGGAATTGTATACCCAATTTCACATAAGATACAGCTAAAGTGCACATCAGATTTTACAGATAAAAGCAGAGAAATACAAAAAAGACACAGGCAGACTGAGTGGGCAAAACTCTGCCAGATGGAGATCAATGTCCAAAAGAGAAATATAAATTGGAACATTTTCTTAACATTGAAAGAATAAACACTGAAGAGTAGCAAAGAGGTTCAGGTGACCATGTTACAAAAAGTTTATGAATAGATCCAAAAAAAGTAATTCAAAAAGTCAAACAGGATGATGGCCTTTATCTCAAGGAAGGTGGAATATAAAAATGAGGAAATGAAACAGTACCAAAGTGTAAAACAATGCACATGGGACTAAGTATGTTGAAAAGACGGGCCATAAGGTTTGTGTCTTAATGTGCAGAGCATTCACAATGAAGTGGTTGACTTAGTTATGCAAATAGATATAAACAGCTATGATTCAGTTGGGATTATGGAGACATGGCTACAGGATGACCTGGGATGGGAACTGAATATCTGGAGTTGAAAAGAAGGTGGGTAACATTGCTGGTTAAAGAATACATTAATACAATAATGAAGAGGGATTATTAGCACTAGTGTAGTGGAATCTGCTAGAGTTTAGAAATACCAAGGACCAACAACAGTGGGTGTTGTATAAAGGATGCCAAACTGTAATGGTAATGTCGGGGAAGGCATTAAACAGGAAGTTTACCAAAGCAAGCAATAAAGGTACACTTGTAATTATGGGCAAATTTAATCTGAATATAGATGGGGCAAATCAAATCAGTTGCAATACAATAGAGGAGGAATTCCTGGAATATTAACGGGATGGTTTTCTGGATCAATATTTTGAGGAACCAACTAGAAAACAGGCCATCTTAAACTGGGTATTGTGCAAGCAAAAAGAAATAGTTGGCAATTTAGCTGTGCAAGGCTGCTTGGGGAGATTAACATAATATGATAGAATTCTTCATAAAGATGGAGACTGATGTATGTGATTTTGAGACTAGGGTTCTGCCTCTTGATAAAGGCTCTGGAAATAATGGATGCATTGTTGGACATCTTACAAGGTTCAACAGACTCTGAAACGGTTCCTGTAGATTGGAGGGTCACAAATGAACCCCACTACTTTTATTAAAAAAAGGAAGCAAAGAGAAAATGGAATCATAGACCAAATGGAATTATAGACTAGATGCCATTATAAAAGATTTAATAGCAGAGCACTTGGAAAACAATGACATGACTGGATAGAATCAGCATGGATTTACAAAAGAAAAATTATGCTTGACAAATCTAGAATTCTTGAAGGATGTAACTAATAGAATTGATTAAACAAACAAAAGAGATTAGAAAGTAGAATAAAGCACCTGGGATTGGGAGCAATGTACTGACATGGATAGAAATTTGATTGGCAGTCAGGAAACAAAGATTAGGAATAAATGCCTCTTTCTGCAAATGGAAGGCAGTGAATAGGGGGGTACTACAGGGATCAGTGCATAGACTCCAGCTATTCACAATGTATATTAATTCTCTAATTGAGGCAACTAAATGTAATAACCCCAAGTTTGGAGATGACACAAATCTGGGTGGGAGGGTGAACTGTGAGAAGGATGCAGAGCTGCTTCAGTGTGATTTGGACAAGTTGAGTGAATAGGCAAATACATGGCAGATGCAGTACAATGTAGATACATGTGAGGTTATCCTCTTTGGTGGCAATAACATGAAGGCAGATTATTGTCCAAATAGCAATAGATTGGGAAAGATGGAAGAGTAATGAGATCTGGGTGACCTCTTACTCCAGTCGCTGAAAGTAAGCATGCAGGTGCACCATAAGGTAAAGATGGCAAATCGTTTCTTGGCCTTCATAGCAAGAAGATTTGAGTACAGTTGCAGGAATATCTTGCTGCAATTGTACAAGGCCGTGGAGAGTATGGTGTGCAATTTTGGCTTTCTTATCAGAGGAAGGACGTACTGGCTACGGAGAGAATGCAACAAAGGTTTACTAGGCTGTTTCCTGGGACGGCAGGACTGAATTATAAAGAAAGACTTGATTGGTTAGGATTATGTCCGCTGGAGTTTAAAAGAATAAGGTGGGGGGGGATCTCATAGAACCTATAAAATTATGACAGGACCTGACAGGGTAAACACAGGATAACTGGAGAGTCCAGAACCAGGGGTCATAGTTTAAGGGTGATGAAGAGAAATGTCTTCACTTAGAGCCTGGGTGAACCTGTGGAATTCTCTGCCACAGAAAGGCCAAAACATTTAACGTTTTCAAGAAGGAGTAATGGATCAAAGGATATGCATGGAAAGCAGGAACAGGGTACTGAATTGGATGATCACCCATGATTGTACTGAATGCTGAGCAGGCTCATAGGGGTGAATGGCCTATTTCTGCTCCTATTTTGTATGTTTCTACCTATATCTATGCAGGATACTTTAAATGCAATTCATGGTAGAACTGTATCATCTACTACAACAAATCTTAAAAACAGTTAACTTTATCTTTTAGTTGCCAGATATATACATACTCTCTTATGTTCCTCATATTCCAGTTTGCTGATTAGTAAAGCTTCTTGGAGATCTGCTTCATACAATTCACTAGTTAGCTGCATACAAAACAAAATAAAGACAGACGTTCAGTGAAGCATCATTAGTTCCAGAAGTAGTACAGTTAAATCATAGTCCGTACTGATATTGTCTCTGCTGTTTTGAATTATTAAAATGTTTTCAAAATTCTCAATACCTGCAAGATGGAAATCTATAATCTTTTGGCACTGAGCATTTACAACTTAGAATTTGAAAACTGAGTGGCAACATTACCTCAATTCTTTGCACTTCAGAACTTTCGGTAGGGTAAGAGAAGGTACTAATATCTGGCAACAGAAACTGGCAACTGGAACTATTTTCCTCTTTCTTATTAATTTTCAGATTTCTGAAGCCATTCATTTTTAGCTGGGAATTATTTCACGGGCTTCAATATACATCTCAAGCAATACATCATATTTATTATTAAAGCATGGGGAGGAAGCCTATTTGACAAAAACAAATTATTTCTAGCTGAATTAAATGCTGTCTTTAAGTCGTTTAAGCACGTTTCAAATTATGACATTGGCCTAGAGCTGCAGTCAGGGGTAACTTTTGCCTTGTTAATGCACAGCAAGACATCAACTCTAGCTTAACTAGAGTATAACTAGAAACACTACTATACATCCAATGTTTCAACTGTATCACCACCAGCATTTCAGAAAAATGTGACATTTTCGAAATCAATATCTACGGAGAGTATTTATTTCAAGCAATTTGTTTGGACATGTTATGACACCTCCAGGAAAGCTGGGACTTGGAACATGAACCTTCTAGGCCAGAGATAGGGAGCACAACCACTGTGCTAAAAGACTCTTCTGGAGAGACTTGGATAATCTTCATCCTGGACACAAGTTAGTCTTTTATGCTAATGATGAGAACCACTAAGCAAATACACATAAACTGCATTAACTTGCAACTTTACGACAAAATAATGGTACTATTAAGGAAAGCCCGGACATGATATTAAGCTATTGGCAGTATTTACTTCTGCTTACTTTAACTGTTCTTGTCAGAAGGCATTTATATAATTATAATAATGATTAAATATCAACTGATTAGACAATTCTCTGGATCCATAAAATTCTACAATTAGTTACACTTTATCCCTTTTAACATAAAAGCAAGTATCAAGTATCTTCATTAGTTTTCATGTCCCGTATTCCTAAGACAATGAAAAAGACAGTGATTATATATGGCCCTTTAATCTGGATCAGTATTGGTTTGTTAATAAAAATCAATTTGTAAAGTCATTATAAATGAATAAAATAAAATTAATGACTGATGGTTGGAATATTGTTAAAACATTTAATGTCATAATACTTTAAGTATTACTGATATTTGACTTCCATCATCAGTTCTCACCTGTTCATCCTTTTCTCTCCACTGCTCCCACTTCTCACCCTCTGCCACTGGTAGATTCTGACTGTTCAGAAATTGCTCTGACTGACACGATCCAGTATTTGCACCAGCAGTAGCAACAGAACAAGACTTTGAAACATTTTTTCCAAAGGCTAGACTTCTTAGCTTTTAAAAAAAGCAAAAATCAAGAAAGAAAATCAATATACATCTTTGTGCCAGACTAATACGATGTTGAAGACAAACCGTTTCATGATTTGAATATTGCTGAAAAAATACATTTTTCTGAAGTCTGGTCTTGAACACATTGGGAAAATCACAAAAAAACATCTATGTAAAACAGAAAGCAATATGAGAGTGCTGACTGGTTGGCAAGTCAACTCTGATTATTGAAGGTGTTGCCACAGATAATGCACAAGTTAATAATGACTGCCAATTTAAATTTTAAATCAGGCAGGTTGACTCAAACTGGTCAAGGCATAGCCCTGAGAAATGAAGGAAAGAACAGCCATCATCTGTTCGTTCAGCTGAAAAATGTGCAGTTTTTTTTCTTGTTTGCAAAGAAACAAACTCTGTATTTATATATGTGGTATTCATTACATTCAAGTGTGCTACACTGTGAGCCTGGCTGAAAATTGTAAATTGTGTCAGCATAATTCTGTGCATGCTCAGATTATTAAGCAAATGGTGTCCAATTTCAGAATAATGTCTACTGTTGGATGCTAATCTGAGAGTCTTGCAAGCATAGCCCTGTTAGGTGTGGTAACAATCTTGTTTGTTACCAACAGCCAAAGGGATATGCTATTTAACATTATTTGCCAGTCTTGTTGAATGGGCCTAATTCACTTTTGGTTCTGAAAAGTGCCCAACCTACTTCAGATTAACCCGGCAGTGGAAGGAATCCCAAAAGCTTGAAAAATGTGCTGACACTATGCAGTAGTCATACGAGTCATATGCTCCAACAACAGGATGTTCTCTTCAAGCCTAAAAGGCATTTTGTCCATCACACAAATGAATAATGCAGCATATTTCAGTGCTGCTGTGATGCTAGGTATATAGATCATACATCTCAAAAACTAGCAAATTTCTTGCAAACTGTCCTGATGAGTGGAAGGAAAAAAACTTTGACCAAACATCTGGGTAATTCAAGATGGAGGACAGGAAAAAATTGTGGCTGCAAGAGCTCTCCTTTTTTTGAGGTATTTTCAGTGTTAGAGCCGATTTCCTCAAATTCTAGGAGCAATAATTACTGTTTTATAAGCTGTTGCATTGTTTTGGAACTTTTGGGGAAAAGAAAGATCAAAACAACAGCACTTTAAAAAGGAGGAAGAGAGACAAAGGTAATGACCACATGGGAAGTGAATCAAACAGAGAAATAAACCTGCACACCTGTGTGACTCAGCAGTAACTTGCACAGCTAACTGCCTCTGTTGTTTGATTTCAAGTATCTCTGGACAGCAGAGTTCATCTAAGAAAAATTAACAAACCACGAAATTCACAGCTGACCTTGGAGAAACCTATGTGGGGGAGCTCACAGCAGGGGAGCAGCTAAGTGGATAGTTTTTATGTATAACCTTACTGTTTTTGTTTGTAAATTTACAATAATGAGTAGAGTGGGTTCTTTATTGATTATATGTCTTTATTGAGATAGGTCTCTTGATTAAACTTTAAAAATATAAAAACATAGGTACGATCTTAACCTGGAGCAGTATTTTTTAAGAGCAGTAAGACTAAGCTATTTTCTGGGTCTGTAGATTGTTAAGGCTGACATTTCAGGCCATGACCCTTCTTCGGAAAGTCTAGGCCCAAAACATCAGCCTTCCTGCTCCTCTGATGCTACTTGGCCCGCTGTGTTCATCCAGCTCTACACCTTGTTATCTCAGATTCTCCAGCATCTGTAGTTCCTACTATCTCTGAAGGAATTTACAGAAGCTAAGAGATGTGATGGATGACATTTGCAGGAAGGGTGACAAACCAAAGATACAGTCAGGTAGATAGGTGACCTCCAGGAAAGGTAGGAGAGTGAGGCAGGTAGTGCAGGTGACTGCTATGGCTATACCCATCTCAAACAAATATAAAACCCAAAAGAACAGTGGATGCTGTAAATCAAGAACAAAAACAAAGTTGCTGGAAAAGCTCAGCAGGTCTGGCAGCATCTGTGAAGGAAAAAACAGAGTTAACGTTTCGGGTCAAACAAATATGCTGTTTTGGAAAATATAGGGATTGATGAACTCTCAGGGGAATGCAGCACTGACAGCCAGGTTTTTGGTACCTTAGACTGGCTCTAACGTAACAAGGGATACGCCAGGTTCCAAGCAATCAATTGCGATAGGGGACTCCCTAGTCAGAGGCACAGACGGACATTTCTGTGGCCAACAAGATATCAGAAAACTATGCTGCCTCTCTGGGCCAGAATCAAGGATGTCTCAAAGAGGGTGTACAGTATTCTCAAAGGGAAGAGGGACCAACAGTACCTCGTTGTACACATTGGAACTAACGATATAGGACGAGAAAACGATGAGATTCTGAGCTGAGAATAAAGGAAGTTAGGCAAGAATTCAAAAAGTAGGTCCTCAAGGGTAGTAATATCTGGATTACTCACAGTGCCACGAGCTATTGAGGGTAGGAACAGGAGAATACAGCAGATGAATACGTGGCTTACAAGCGGGTGCAGGGGAGAAGGATTCACATTTTTGGATCATTGGAATCTCTTCTGGGGTAGAAATGACCTGTAAGGGGGATGGATTACACCTGAATTGGAAGGGGACTAATATACTGGCAGGGAGATTTGCTAGAGCTGCTCAGAAGGATTTAAACTAGTAAAGGGGTGTGGGGGTTGGAACCCAGGGAGATGAGGAGGAAAAAGATCAGTCTGAGACTGGTGCAGTTGGGGAAAAAAGAGCAAGTCAAGCATTCAGGGTAGGCAGGAACAAAGCAGAGAATGAGGTAGGACTGATAAATTGAACTGCATTTTTTTCAATGCAAGAGGCCTAATAGGTAAGGCAGATGAACTCAGGGCATAGTTGGGAACATGGAACTGGGATGTTAAGGCAATGACAGAGACACAGCTCCGAGATGAACAGGACTGGCAGCTTGATGTTCCAGGGTATGGATGCTATAGGGAGGATAGAAAGGGGGGCAAGAGAGGAGGGGGAGTGGCATTTTGATTATGGATAACATCATGGTTGTACATAGGGAGGATATTCCTGGGAAATACATCCAGGGATGTTATTTTGGTGGAACTGAAATAAAAATGGGATGATCACCTTATTGGGATTGTGCTATAGACCCCCCCAGTAGTCCACCACTCTGCCCGCATCAATTTTCTTCATTACTTCTTCAAAAAAACTCAATCAAGTTAGTGAGACATGATTTTGGAATACTGCATGCAATTCTGGTCTCCCTGCTATAGGAAGGATGTTGTGAAATTTGAAAGGGTTCAGAAAAGATTTACTAGGATGTTGCCAGGGTTAGAGGGATTGAGCTATGGGGAGAGGCTGAATAGACTGGGGCTATTTTCCCTGGGACATCAGAGGCTGAGGGGTGACCTTATAGAGGTTTATAAAATCATGAGTGACACGCATAGGGTAAATAGACAAGGTGGTTTACCCTACGGTGGGGGTGTCCAAAACTAGAGGGCATAGGTTTAAGGTGAGAGGGGAAAGATTAAAAGGGACCTAAGGGGGAACTTTTTCACATAGAGGGTGGTGTATATGGAACAAGTTGTCAGAGGAATGGTGGAGGCTGGTACAATAACATTTAAGAGGCATCTGGATGGGTATATGAATGAGAATAGAAGGATGTGGGCCAAATGCTGGCAAATGGTACTAGATTAATTTAGGATATCTGGTTGGCATGGACGAGTTGGACTGAAGGGTCTGTTTCCGTTCGGTACAACTACGACTATGACTTTTTTTAAGCAACAGTCTAATTCTAACTACCAAACAACCATTTGACGATTTACTTATTTTACACTTGTTCTAGTTTGATCTCTTCTCAAAGTCACATATAAAAATACATAAATTATATCTAAGTGCTTTGCAGTCAGTAAGTTAAATTCACTTTGCAAAGTGAAGAATTTTTAAACCAGTAATTTTCAACTGTGCTAAGGAGATATGGAAAAATACCAAACCAATTAAATTCCTAATTGTAATTTAACAAATCGTCCTTTGGAAAATAAATTTATTTTTAATCTGGCTTTAAGGTAATAGAATAGCTTATATTTTAAAGATCAGTCTTTGGCTTCAAATTCAATGTTTTTTTGCATGAAAGGATACAGTACTAATGAAGAAACAGGATTTACTTTTAGGTGTTAATCTTGTTGCAATTTCAAGTCACAAACTCCAAGAAGGTTTAATGTCAGTTTAACATGTGGTCCGTGAAAAGATCTGAAACTGCATCTAATACAATATAGTTATTACATTGCAATATTCACTCCTGTAAGTTAAAATTAGTCTTAATAAAATTATTTTTATCTATTTTTTAAATGGCTTAAATAAAATCTTCACTGCCTAAATGACACAAACTTCTCCAACTTTGTTTCAAATGCCCCATTATCAACCATACCAACCTTCAACCTGGGAGATCCACTGCAACATTCAAGATCCACTCTGGGTTAAAAAAATGATTTTTCTTTGTTGCCCTTGGTTCTTTTGCCAAAAAGCTTTAACAAACGTCCTTGCGTTCTCAGCCTTTCTGCAATGGGAGCATTTCTATCTATTCTGACTGAAATCTTCATGATTTTGAACAGCTCTAACAAATGTCCTCCGAGAAAACAATCCAGCTTCTCCAATCTATCCAAGTACATGAAGGCTCTCATCCGAAGAGCCACTCTCTCAAATCTTTGGACTTTGGTGTTATAATTAAATGGTTACATCAAGCCAACAAATGATTATACGAGAAAAATTATCAACAGGCTATTTAGCTATTTAGCTATTTACATCCTGTGACTACAAACTGTGACCACAATTGTGGTGAGTTAGTGCAATTACTAACATATGAAATAACAAGATTAAAACATGTTAATTCAGGGAAAGGCCTTTATTGAACTCACTGTGCAGATTTCAGGAAGACACAATGTGAGAAAACAGAACAGATATCACAAGTCATCTGTTGTCACTAGAATCAGTGCAAAGCAAGAACCATCTGAACGAGGATACTGATTGTCT